CAATGGCTCAACTGGGCGTTCGCTTCATATCGTCCCCGCCCCGAACAGATAAGTCTGTCGCCATTTGTTTCCTGCCTAATATAACACATCATATCTGACGGTACAGCCTGATTTATTCAGAAGAATGAATATTAACAGAATTTGACTGGTCACCCTTAACGACATTATACTCCGTGACCCGTAGTCCGCAAGCGAACTATACCGACCGAGCGACCGCCGCTTGTCGGCGAAGTTAGTACAAATTTTTACGGATAGAGTGTGTCGCGTGGTCAGCGCAACGGATCCACACGGCCGTTAATTTCAGTTTTTTAGAGCTGAGCCGCTATTTCCTTGAAATAGCTCGTCAGTTATCATCACGTGGCTGAGTAGACCCCGTTCCAAACCCACTACATCTCAGAAAATCTGGTAGCTCCGGGAATCGAACGCGGGACCTCGGGATCTGTAGCCAGGAACGCTGACCACTAGACCACAGAGGCGGTTACAAACAACTATCTCACTATCGCTTATTTCCGCAATTTACAACTCACTATACGCTAAATCTTTTCCAGCCTGCGATGTCTTCACTAGTCATTGCTGGGTAACAGCTCATAACAATGGCGATTCTTCAGCTTCTGTGCTCGCATTGTTACTGGTCGGTGAATACCCCACAACTGAGCTATATCACCATCTCTTCTCATTCTCCCTTGCAGAACTTAACTCTCATCTGATTGGGCAGCCTCAGGTGTAATGGTTATAATTTCTCGCCACAGACTACATTGCCGCAGGAACGTGTTTACTGCGCTGCTGCCCAGAAACACGTTGTATAACACAGTTTAATAGGAATCTGCTGTCCTAGCAATGGGAGTTGTTTTGTGACCGTTACCCAGCAACGGGTCTACACGCTACATTTGTTCATTTCACTCATTTTTATAACCGACACCCGAGAGGTCGGTTCAAGTGGTGACACTATTGTATCAGGGAGTGGTTCCCACTTCGTATCTCGGCCTTCATATCGATTATCCTGCATGAAGTTTTCCGTAATTTTCCTCAGTCCATCCAGGCAAATAACGCAATACATGTAATCAGGCTACGGTCGCCAGAGTTGCGCTGTCTAAGGCAAGAAATGTCTCCGCCCGCTCGAAGACTGGGGTTGTGGGTTCGAATCACGGTTATACCTCTACATTATTTCTGTGTTTGTGTTGTCCTTGCGAAGGGACTGATCTCCTGTTTAGGGAGACCTACCAACTATCTGTAGTATTCGTAGTTTTAAGGCTAATTCTAAGATGGGAACTGGCCATACGTTATAATCCGTCAAGGGAAGAAGATGACACGTAAAATAGGTTCGTTTCATGTTCCTTCAACTTCAGTATTAATTTACAGTCTTACAGTTCAACATTATACACTGTGAGAAGTTGACAGTTTCTTGAAAAAAAAAGAAACAAAGACACAGGAATATGAAGGGTCATGAACTCTTTCATTTATATCCTTCTGCAAAGGTCACGGTAGCCGCGCGGTCTAAGGCATGAACTGTCTTCGCTCGCTTGGAAACCGGGATCGTGGGTTCGGATCTGTTTCCTGTGAGGTACGGACTGAATTCTTATATATTATTCTTATACACTGCCGGTCACAGTAGCTGCGCGGTCTAAGGCATGTACTGTCTTCGCTCGCTTGGAAACCGGGATCGTTGGGTTCGAATCCCACTCAGGGCATGGATGTTTAGTTTGTGCGTGTGCGTTTTTATGTGTTTGTATACAGATAGAGGCCTTGCGACGAGCTGATCACCCGCCCAAGGAGTCCTACCGAATGTGTAAGATCTAGAAAAACCGAAGTGAACGGAGAAGTTCATGGACGTAGGCCTAGGCCCACTGGGGCTGTAGTGCCAGGGGGGGGGGGAATGTCTCGTAAAATCTATAGTGTGTCGTGGTGACAGACGTTTTGTGCTGAAACTGTATTGACCCTAAGGCTTAATATAGTCCCATAAGGAGTGGAAATGGTTGTAAAAGCAACGAAACGCCCCTTAATCATTTGAATTTTTGGGATGGGCAACGGAATGGTTGTTACAGAAGTGTCTGTGTGTCTACGTCCCGACGCTTGGCAAGCGTTCCAATTTTATAACGCTCGACCCAGTTTAGACACAGGTAGAAAAGAACCCTCCCCAGATCTGTCTGCACAATAGGGACGTTACAATGCTCTATTTCTCACACGGGGGCCCATTGCAGATCTGCATTTTTACGCCCACAGAACATGACGTTACTTCCCGTACCTGTAGGTTAACTCTTATATAGCCATGTTCTGCTAATTGGATCTCTGCTAACACGTTGCGTAATATAATGATCGTTTTCGACGCCTGTTTTCTTGTCCTCGTGTTATTTAACGACGTTTTTTCAGTATCGAGGGTGATGTGTGGTTGATGAACTGAACTCATTAGATACATGCGAAATACGACGTTAACCCTTATAAAGGTGTTAGATACATCTTCTATTCGATATGGACTTGTGGAAAGGTGTTAGATACATCTTCTATTCGATGTGGACTTCTGGAAATGTATTAGATATGTGTTGTATTCGATATGAACTTGTAGAAAGGTGTTAACTTCATCTTGTATTCGATATGTGCTTGCAGAAAGATGTTATATACATCTTTTATTCGATACGGACTTGTAAAAATGTGTTAGATACATTTGTATTCGATTTGGACTAATAGAAAGGTGTTAGATACATTTTGTATTCGATTTGGACTAGTAGAAAGGTGTTAGATACATTTTGTATTCGATTTGGACTAGTAGAAATGTGTTAGATACATTTTGTATTCGACATGGATTTGTGGAAAGGTGTTAGATACAGTATATCATGTGTTTGATATGGAAATGTGGAGAAGTGTTACATATATATCTTATATTCGATGTGGTCTGCGTTAGGTTAGATTCAGAATGAAGCGAGATGAGATGCAGGCGATTAGACCACTGAACCAGGAGAGGATGACGCACTGCATAGGCAGAAAATTTTTCGTACAGTTGTGTCAGTAGGAGCGTGAAAGTGCTTAATGATAGCATGCCGATGATCTGTCATTAAAAGTAAAGTAAATCTATCCTTGTAACAGGCCGTGGTATTTGTGGTAGAAGTCCTATTTTGTAGTGAACAGAACCAATTAATTGCATATAATTACATCATAATGTGTAAATGACTGCATTAAAAATTATACGAAAATAAAGCCTCAAGTTTCTGTTTACTGCAAACAAAAAATAAATGAATTCATAGTTATGAACGATCATCCCCCATCGATGAAAATTAATGCCAATTCGAGATTATTTATGTCCTATAAATTGCAATGTAATGTAACGAAGTCAGATGATTATGAAACACGCTGCTACACTCAACCCTAAAACTTATTGCCATATTCAAAATTAGTAAACACCACAATCCACTTCACATTCCTGTACAACATTTTCTGAAGATCCCTTCTAATACAGTTCTCGTATCTACATATAGAGTTTCTAACAGGTATCTTGCCCTCAGATATCATTAACCAATAATCTGTATGCTCTTCATTTGGAGATAATCAAACCTCTAATACAATTTTAACTTAATTCCTGGAACTTAATCCATACCACTGTTTTATCACATTTTTGATATGTGCATGCTTGGCACAAAAGTTTTAGCTTGTCTTTTATTGTAATTTTATTCTTACCTCTCACTGATGGAACCTGTTATCAGGTGTTTATAGGCTGTTCTCTACTGACTGGGGTTTGTCTAGTGATTGAGACTGGCTCTTTCTAACGGGCCCAACTGAGCAAGTTTATTCTGCCCTATCCACCTTAGGACGGAGACAGATTCAGTCGCCGAAACGTTTTGTTTTTTTATCTTATATATACCAGACGATGGTTATAGTCTAAAGTAAGCCTTATAGTTCTGTGCTGTAATATAGTGTTACATTTCTCGAAATTTTCTTTCCATTTTGATTTTCCATTTACTTTACTTTACTTTTACTTTGTTTTACTCTATGTCTATCGATTTACTTTCATGCTTTTTTTAATGTTTCCCGTGAATATAACGTGTCAAGTTTTTGTCAAGTTTCTTTGGTTTAATTATCGCAAAATTTGGCAAACATATTTGAGATGCTATTATACGAAATAATGTCAACGTTGAATAAAAATATGTGAAAATGTACGTCCTAATAAGTCAGACAGAAAATATTAATTACATATATTTTTTTTTTATTATTATTGTAATTAGTAGAAACAGATTTCTGCCATGTTACGCCGTATAGGCTAGGATTATTACGCGATGTCGCGTACATTGAGACAGTCTTAATATACACTGTCGTGAGAACCTCAATTCTTACTGTAATTATTATTCTGTGTTTAGTCTGAAGTCCTGTTTCATACCAAATATTAATAATCATACACTCTTCTCTGATATTAGCTCTGTCAGTACACTACCATAATCTTCGTAACACCTAATCACAGCGAGGTTTCCACACGCCTTGTACATCACAATACAGACTCATTTTCCTTACCTCACACCGTCCCTTTTCCTACCAGTGCACATTTCCCGACTTATGCACCCCTCAGAACATGTTCTTTACTCGTCTAACTCTTCCTGTTTCCGTTCCTAGCAAAGGGGCTTGGTTATTTGAAAGTTCCCATGGTGAACATGCTAAAAATCGTTAGTTTTAAATGTTTTAACACAAGGGGAGATTTGTTTAACTAATCTTTAAAAAATACGAAATAAATTCAGTCTGTTAATACCTGTCTTTTACGAAATATATCTTCGTAAGTAGCACATAAAGGATCATTACTTAAATTTAATATAAGTTTATCTCTCTAATATTAATAATTTAATTCGTATTAATGAAAATCAATATTCAAATAAATATAAACCTAATCCACTTCCCAAATTCTGAGTTCATGCATCAGATACTGAAAGCATTCCACAATTTTTATATCAAAACACATATATTAATCTTATGGTTGTAAAATAAGAAGGTACTACTATATTGTTATCGCTTTTAGTTTACTTTACCATGTATGAAACAATCCACACGAAAGAAAAGACGTGAAATTTCCCCGCACACACACGTTAGGACTTCTGACCTGTACGTAAGCACCACTCTGACTGAAGTTCCGCGGGACACTGGCTGACAACAGCCGAGCCTCGCGCCTGTATACCTTCAGCCAAGAGCGGTGCTGCTCTCTGTTGCTATTACGCGCCACGAAACTCAAAAGTGACATATCTCACTCAACCAGTAAGCCTCATAAATCGCGATGCTTTTTGTAGCAACTGACTTATTAAACCGAATATTTTATATCATTATCTTTATCCTAAGCTAGGACATGAACATTCACAACAATAATATCACAACCTGCTGGCGTAGCGACGATATTTCTGTCTTTTATTCATGAGGGGCATGGTTTGAATCTTAGCCGAGACAATCCTGACAGATTTATTTTCGTCATTTTATTAATTCTCTCAAGAAAAAATGCTGGGATAGTACCACAATCAGGCCAACGACCGCTTCCTTTAAAATCCTTTAAATTCAAAATTGATACCACGTGCTGCTATTCGGCGCTATGCAGTCTAGTCACTGGCAGCGTCCTATATTTACTCACCTGACATCTTGTCATTAACGAACCCCCACACTTCTGCCCACATAGCTCTAGGAAGAGATCCGCTCCTGCGCCGTCATTGTCATCTGTATGGAAGAATTTTTTTTGGATTAGATCACTCCTATTCCTGCTGACGTCCTTCTGAATCCAATTTGTGGGTAGGCCTTATCGAATCTAACGCCTCTCTATGGCTTATATTGAACTACACATGTATCTAACCAATTTCCAATGTTTTATCCCAAGTTTCAGGTGTATCTAACACCTCTCTATGGCCCCTCATGGATCCAATGACCTCATCGGGACTTGAACCCGCGACATTCCGGCTTGTAGCGTAGTGCCTCAACCAACTACGCTGCGACGTGCCCCCATCCTTGTGATATATACTGGGTGCAAAAAAAGTTGCACAACGAAGAAGATTCGCTGTTTGATTACAGTAATACAATGTATTCTTTTATATTCACAGGTCAGTGGGAAATTCGGATATACTCCCATGGGACTTCCGTTTCGTGACTTGAAGTAGATGGACGCCACATAATGACAGCTTCGTAATGTAAGTCACAGAAAATCACGTCTTATTCTTGAATTTCTGTCCACTAATGCATGTGGTTCGTTTCCTCTTGAAAGTGGCTTTTGTATGTAAGACGTATGGTAATTGCGCCCTTTCAAACCCCCCCCCATTTCTTATCCATTACTTCCCTGAGATCTTTTCAATCATCGTTATCATCTTTCAGTGTCAGAATCTTGACGGAAACGTCCAACTTCATTTGCATATAAATGAACTCTCGCAGAGGAAGAGATCGATATCTCGAAACTATAAGAAAAGAACGCATCCTTCAACTGTTTCTTTAGTCTTGATATGAATAAAGAAATCGTGATACGATTTGGACGGCACGGAAATCGCCACGTTCAACAGTTCTATTGCTGCATGTGTATTAATTGCCTTGGGAACATGTTTATCTAGCCGTTGCTTGGCAATGGCCGTCTCTTCTGGCTCCAATATTGAGAAGGGGTACGTACAGACAACAATGTTGTTTCATAAAACTACTTTCATATTTTAAAGATAAAGAAAATAGGCTTATCAACCAATATCCTATATGCATTACCGCTGGGAAGACAAACGGGTAGGTGTGCGGACAATATTAAAATGGATCTTAGAGAGATAGGGTGAGATGGAATGGATTGGATTGATCTGGCTCAGGATAGGGACCGCTGGAGGACTCTTGTGAACACGGTAATGAACCTTCAGGTTCCAGAAAATTCTGGGAAGGTCTTGAGTAGCTGCACAATTGCCGGCTTTTCAAGAAGGGCTCAGCTCCGTGAGTGATTGAAGGAAAATTGGATAAAGAAGAAGTTCTGGGAAGAATTAATCGCCTACTTTCCTCTCGCTAGATATTGAATAACTTACGAGTATGCGACACGGACTACATTAAAAATATCGCCTCCAACAGTTCTGTTGTTCCTTGTGTATTATTTGCCGCAGGAACGTTTTTACCGAACTGTTGCCTAACAACGGCAGTCTCTTCCGCCTTTAGTGTTGATAGTGGGGACACAGAGACATACAGACAACAAGGTGATCTCATAAGTCTCTTTTTATTTTTTCAAAATGAGGAAAGTAGGATAATGCACACGACATTAGAATCACGCCTGATATTTAACCAGAGATCATTTGTTTGGTTTAAATTCTTTGAAACCACAATTGTATTTATGAGAAGTTTGATGTTTTTACTGACTTGATTATCTGAGAAGTGTTGGGTCTGATACGGGGTCCACTCAGCCTCGTGAGGATAACTGAGGAGCAATTTCAAGGAAATAGCGGCTCCGGTTCCGTGGGGAACAGTTGCACTGACAACGTGACACCGCCTATCCGCTAAATTTGACACTAAGTTCGCCGACAAGCGGCGGTCGCTCGGTCGGTATAGTTTTCTTGAGAACTAAGACCACGGAGTTGAGGTTTTTACTCCGTGACGTTGAAGATTAGACATACTTTCTTTTTGGAATATGAAGCCATGCTGTCTGATAGATATTCACCGACGTTTCGGAGAATTTTACTGTCTCTGCCTTCAGCCCTGCAAAATTACGTAAAATATGAGTATTTTGAATGAAGATTCTTAAAGTTTGCGACATGTGTCACTCCTACAGGAAAACCCCATCTCTGCGTGTTGCCCATTAGAAGTAATACGGATGACGACGCTCTAGCGTCAAGCTACTGGATGCGCCTTTATATTCTTTTGAAGCATATATATTTCTTTCTTTCTTTCTGAGAATCCTTCTGTCTCTCTTGTCCGATTTCCCACGCTGCACACGATAACTGTGCCATTATATGCATATGGAGTGTTTCCTCAAGCATTTCGTTATCTATACAAGTGTACTTGAGGTACATGGTAGCGTGGTTGATTGAGACACTATATTAGAAGCCGGGAGGTCGCGCATTCGATCCACGATGATATCATTGGACTTTTTTATTGACCTAATCCTTCCAGCCGCACTATGGCCCTAGGGTCGACTCAGCCTATAACAGAAATGAGTACCAGGAATCTTCCTGGGGAGTAAAGGGTGGCCGGCGTGTAAGGCTGACAACCTCATCGCCATCTGTGAGCCGATTGTCTAGAAAATGTGGGAGCCTCGACGTCTCACAACCATATGGGCCTCCACGGCCTGTTACATGGATAGCTTTATCTTTTTTATGCATTAGGAATTTCTGTTTAGAATTTTCACAGCTATCGTTGAAGATAATGAGGCTTTGCGGAGCCAAAGGGCTCCAAAGAGTTTTTCGGAGGGAACCGTATATGCAGTATGTAAAGGCGGATATTAATTTTATAGAATTCTTGTATAATTAAGAGCAACATGAAGTGAACTAGTGTAACATGCCCTTATAACTCAGCGGGAAATCTCATCATTGGTTATATAAGCTACCTTCTCCTTTCTCCAGTATTACTTTCCAGCCTTAATGATGCTCTGAGGCCTACGTTTAACGTAATCTCCCACGTATATCACGCACAAATCGTGAATCTTAAACAGTGTCCTTTACACTACATTCATTTTTTTAGGCTTGCATCCTGTTGCGCATATATACAATGAACATGTATAATTTTTACCGTCAACGCCGGTATAGAGAATAGTTACTGGCTGGACGACTGAGGGATCGGAGTTCGAATCCCTGTAGGGTCAAAAATTTTCTTTTCTCCATGTGGTCCCGCCCGGCTCTGGGGTCCACAAACCTCCTATCAAATGGGTACCGGGGGGTTCTTTCCCGAGGGTAAAGCGGCAAGGGCATGAAGCTGACCACTCACCTCCAACTAGTGCCGAGGTCAAGAAAATGTGGATCTATAATTCAACTCCTCCATACACCTTCATGGAGTAGTGCTTGATTACTTAAGCATAAGGACAACTTTAACTTTACCATCATCCTACATTACATTTTGCACATCCGAATCAAAATATTATCATTAGAGTAAACACTCGCTAATCCGGATTAATTTGGGGGAAGGTCATCCTAATTAAGCGATAATCCGTATTAGTGAAGCAAAATGTAGCCCTAGAAGAATGGTAGCTTTTCAAGGAACACACAACCCAATGGAGTTATATTTTGTGAGCTATAAGCCTAGAACCCAGACAGACGTGATCAGTAAGCGACCGCAGTTTACGTCTCAGTCCGTGACGGGTGTTGTAGCTTCTGTTTTTCTGATTCACAATTTACAGTGGCAACATTTGGTTCTTCCCCTTGTATCACGTGCTTCATATCGCGATTGTTTTGCGCTTAGTTCTAGCAACACCTGTCGCCTAGCAACCCTAGAATTTAGATCACACATCTGCCGACACCTCCCGCAAGTATATAGTTCCATGTGAAAGTTTTCGGTCCTTGCACCAGCTACATTTACATTTAAATGTAACTTGGAATTCATTCACTTGTCATGAACTGAGTTGGATGTTCAATGCGACAGAACACGATATGAGGTAGGACGTTCTCACGGCACTAAATACCTTTCGTCTGGTAAGTGATGTAGTGTGTTCTGGGTACACATGTAGCGGGATTTCTGAGGAAATTTCTGCTGCCATACTCATGGTAGAAATTTTTTCTATAAATCAGACGCAAAAGTCTATATTACAAATTAAATTTAGTGGGACATTAACTAATCCCATGGAGCCGCGCCCTTCTGGAGAAGCTGTCAGTCACTTAGCCACTGAAGAATTACTCTCAAGATTTTACGGAACTCCAGTGTTCGTTACGGTGTTCACAAAAGCCCTCCACTAATCTGTATTCTGAGCCAGATAAATCAAGTTCATACTACCGCATCTTATGTCTCGAAAATCCATTTTAGTATTATACTCCCATCTACGTCTAGGTCTTCCTAGAGGTATCTATCCTTCTATCTTTTCCCACCAATATCCTATATGCATTCCTCGTCTCCCTCATGCATTCTACAAGTCCAGCCATAGCACCATTGTTAACTGATCATTTTAATTATACTTGGAGAAGAGTACCAACTTATGAAGCTCCTCATTATGCAGTTTTCT